AATATTTAAATAAAAAATGCTTATTTTACTGATGCATCTGTTTTTGGTTTAATAATTACATTTATGATCAAAAACAGATGCATCAGTAAAATAAGCATTTTTTATTTAAATATTCAAATAAAAAGATTTTTTATTTTTTATTTGTATAGCCGAAGCGAGACATTCACAGTCTGTCCAGCCGTTACAGTTATTATCGCAGAGTACTTCACAGAGACAAAAAAAATGCTAAAACCTAAAAATGATGATTCTGATACTACCGAAAGTGAATGTGATGATAAGGAAAATACTTTCAGCGACAGTGGATCTAATAATAGCAACGACACTTTTGATTTTAAAAAGCAATTAAGAAATCAAACAAAAAAAACGGAAGATAAAGTAGAAACCATAAACTATCACAGGAAAGCTGAAAAAGTAGATGATGGAGTCGACAATCTCTTAGCTGACGAAAGTGACCTTTTTGGTCACTAAAGATTGGCCTGGAGAGAAAGTACGCAAAATAGTAGTAGTAGGTAAGATTTTTATAAAATATTAATCTCGTGGTATATTCTATCTTTTGTATGATAAAAAAATTAATATTTTGCATATATATTAAACAGATTAAAGCTCATTGATAAGGTCCCCGCGAATTCAATCGAGCGGATTGCTCCAACATCTCTTGCTCCATGTTATTACACGATCCTCTTTCTAACACACTTTGTTGTACTCACGACTTCCAATTCTCGATTATTGAGCGTATCCCCCAGATTATTCATTTTTTTTATATCTCACTAATGATGCATCGTTTGTTTTTTTAGCGTATCTAATTTCACCGTGATCTCAGCATCCGTACATTTGCGCTAACCGAAAAAATGCAAAATTTTCAGTTTTGCACGTGTTCGATGATGTCATCGTGAGACATGTTACGGCATGTTCTTGAAAACAATATCATGTCATTGGCGAAAATTCAAAATTTTTTTAAAAGGGATTTCGTCACCATGCCTACAGCAGTCGTATATCGGCGCGCTATTTGAAAAAGCAGCACTTGTAGTTTTGTGAACGTTTGATGAAATCATCAATTATCGGGGACGTCGCGATATGTCTTTGAAAAAAGGTATCATGCCATTGACTTATGTGGATTTAATCTATGTGACCACAGCAGCCGTATATCAGCGCTATGCAAAATTTGCACTTTGCATGTGTTTGATGAAGTCAGTGCATAAATATAAAAATGCTTAAACAGCTTTTACCATGAAGATAATGGATCTGTATCTTGGCGAGTGGACCATTCTTTGGCTACATCTCGCACGCGAACGTGGTTCTTGAGTGTTACAAGGACTTGTGTTGTTCGAGTTTGAAAAAATACGGTAAGAAAGAAAAAATTATTTTTAGAGATTTAAGAACAGTGTGTAAATTTAATTACATAAAATTTTTCTATTTATAGAAATGAAACCGCCGATACAACCCATAAATATTAGGTTGTTGGACGGGGTTCTGCCTCGGGAGTATCCCGAGACATACGATAATCTTATACATGGTTTCTGCATCATCGGGCTCGAGCCCTGCTACGTGGGACGGAGATCTCCACGTATGCGCTTATGTCAGCGGTGCTATGTGCTGACGTTTAACCCTCAGTTGCGTGAATTTGAAAGAAAAGTGCGATGGCACGGCATTTCGTCGCGGTTGCATGGGTTCCCAATCCGTATTAAAACAATGTGCTTTATGTGTAGAAAAATAATCATGCGTATAAGGACTGCCGATGAGTGCCGCGAGTGTATTGAAGCGTATTTAAACAATGAAAGAGAGTTTGCGAGATTCAATAGATGGGGTAAAATCTACGAGATAGAGCTTCATGAATGAGATTAGTATGTGATTATGAGAGTGAACAGCTCTGTATTGTGTGTAATTTATTGTAGTAGTATAATGCTGGTTGAGAGTGAAAATGAGTGAGTTAGTAGAATTAGAGAATAGATTTAGAAGTTAGAGAATTAGAAGTTAGAGAATATGGATGAGTTTTATATATATAGTAAGAGATGACTATTGTATATTGTATTATTGATGTTCTGTATGTTGTTGGGTATACTGTGCTTGTCATACCCATGTGTGTTGCGTCGATGCATTGGCGGCGTGCGCAAAGAGCGGAAAAATTACGTTTAAGTTTAAACGCTTATGTCTTATGTCGAGATTATTGTGTGCAATCGGTAGATAGTTCTGTACTGCTAATAAACTACTACAATAAACTATTCTAAAGAACCTTTGGTCACAATTTATACTATATGTTTGACTGGCTTTTGTCCCTGTTCCCGCAACATCCCCACATTACTGTGTAACTTTTGAATAATTAATTAATTAATGTGGGATTCGAACTTTATGCTTATAACGTACTTAAGATGCTTATAACGCTGTCAGATAAAGAACAATGTTAAAAAAAGCCAATTTTTGCTCTTTGGGGGAATAAATAAAACCTATTCCATACGTTTTCTAGACATAAATACAAATAAAAAATGCACCTAAGATCGTTCGGAACCCCGGGGAAAACTTTTGGCAAGCTGTTGACTAGCTAAATAAGCTATTAAAACGGAAACACTTTTCAGTTTTTAATGTTGATTGAAACGCACTGAACTGAGATTCTTTCCGAGTTCTCACGGCTTTTAATAATGTGATGATGAATAAAAAGTGTTTATAGTCAGTTATGAGCTTTAGAGCTTATTATGTTCCCTGTAAACCGTTAGCACCAGATCATTCTGACGTTCTGTATTCATTGAGTGTTTTAGTTGTTTGATGGCTGTTTTTAGCTGTTTTTAGTTGTTTAAAAGAAGTTTGATAGCGGTTCAATAGCGGTTATACAGATCGCAGTTATACAGATAGCTGTTTTAATTGTTTCATAGCTGTTCAAGAGCTGTTTGATAGCTGTTTTTTAGCTGTTTCATAGCGGTTCAATAGCTGTTTTAGTTGTTTGATAGCTGTTTGATAGCTGTTTCATAGCGGTTCAATAGCTGTTTGATAGCTGTTCAATAGCTGTTTGATAGCTGTTTTAGTTGTTTGATAGCTGTTCAAGAGCTGTTTGATAGCTGTTTTAGTTGTTTGATAGCTGTTCAAGAGCTGTTTGATAGCTGTTTTTAGCTGTTTCATAGCGGTTCAAGAGCTGTTTTTAGCTGTTTTTAGCTGTTTTATAGCGGTTCAATAGCTGTTTGATAGCTGTTCGATAGCTGTTTTTAGCTGTTTTTAGCTGTTTGATAGCTGTTTGATGGCTGTTTTTAGCTGTTTAAAAAAAGTTTGATAGCGGTTCAATAGCGGTTATACAGATCGCAGTTATACTGATAGCTGTTTTAGCTGTTTAATAGCTGTTCAATAGCAGTATTACAGATCAAATCACCGAAAGTCAATGGCGCAATATCGTTTTCGAGAATATGTCTCGCGGTGACTTCATCGCGAGACACGTATGCTTTTGAAAAAAAATCATATTTGATGCCCGATGAGGTGATCTCATCACGAATGTTCTTGACAAAGATATCACATTTAACGTATATGTGGATTGTGGTGGCGGTCACCATGCAGCAGCCGTTTATCGTTTACTTAAATGTAATATTAAAAATTAAATATTGCGAAGATCTAAACGATTAAATATTGCTGGCAAAGAAAAGATACGCGATCGCGAGCGAGAACGCGCGAGGGAAAGAGACCGCGCGAACGAGAAGACGAACGGGGGACGGGGGAGAAACATCTACGAGGGAGAGATAACGCGAGCGTGTCATGTGACGTCACGTGGACTCCGCGGCGCGGCGAAACGCGAACGCGGGTCCCCTCGCCCCGCGGCGCCCGAAAACGCGAACGCTCCGCGGCGCGGCGAAAACGCGGATCCCCCCTCGCCCCGCGACGCCGGAAAACGTGGTTTCCCCCTTCCCCTCCCCGCGGCGCCCGAAAAAACGCAGTTCCCTCCTTCCCCCTTTCCCGCGGCGCCCGAAACGCGCGGTTCCCCTCTTCCCGCTCCCCCGCGGCGCCCGAAACGCGCGGTCCCCCCTTCCCCTCCCCGCGGCGCCCAAATCGCGCGGTCTTCCTCCCCCGCGGCCCCCACCCCCGGCCCCTTCTTGCGGTCCCCCCCTCCGCGGTCCCCCCCCCCGCCCGCGGTTTCCCCCCGCCCCTCACCCCCCCCTCATTGCCCCATGGGTTAGAACCTCCCATAGCTTACCTACTGGCAACGATTCGCTCATAGCCCAGCCGTACAGATTGTTCACGTCGTAATACATGAGATACGTAGTGGGCTGGGACGAGTCGTGCGTCGGTACGTGCCTGTTATTGGCTCGCGCGTACCTGAGCGAACATTGACTGAGGCCGCCGCGTATTCCGCGTCCCACGAACAGCACCATGTCGATGTCGGTGAGCAGCTCGAAACGCACGCCGGTGTACCTCAGCATGGCGTCCCACGTGTACCCCGGCAACGTGTAGTAATGCGCGGGATCGAGTCCGTAACTCGCCGAACACGCGTCCCGAAAATTTTCAAATATATCCGCCAGAAGAAGCACGTCGGTCTTGAGATACAGATCGCTGTACTCGCCGAGATCTCGCACGCGAAAACGTCGCCAGACCCTTGTCGCGTGCTCGTAGTCGCTCTCGCTCGCGGTCTCGTCGGTCAGGGAGCTGTAAAAGGCCTCGCGCGGCGGAAGCTCGGTATCCCGCAGTTTGTCCGCGCCGTCGACGTACTCGTACGGAAACACACCCTTGCGAGTGAGCAGATCGAGATCCTCCGCGCTCAAATCCGCGTATTCCGAACGCGTGATTCTCAGCTTGTCCCTGTTCAAATAGGACGCCAAGGTTTCGATACTCGCCGCTAAAAATTTATACGAGTCCACGAATCGAAGCTTCACGTACAAATCCCATTTTCCGTCCGTCTGCGTTTCCTTAACGGTCTTCGAGAAAGATATGTAGCTTTCCTTCGTGAGCGGCAGCAGATCGACCCCGCCCTCGAAATCGTTCGTGATTTTCTCGACGACGAAGTGCGCGTCGTAACCCGACAAATTGTGAAAGAACACGGGAATCACGTAAACGTTTCTATAATTCAGATTGCAACGAGAATGCGCCGGACCTCTGTAACGTCCGGTTAGGTGACAGTGATCCCGCACGCGATTGTTCTCCGGTTGAAACGGTTTCTCGCACACGTGACAATGAGTCGCGAGCAGAAATTCGCTTTTCTTGTCCTCCGTGAGTTCCACCATCGCTACATTGGTGGAAAATTTATTCTTAACGCGACGCGCGAGAACGCGAAGTTCGTTCACGAACCACGAAACGCATCTGTACGCGGACGCGGTATCGTCGTAAATGCAGCACAGATAGTAGCCCACGCTGACGGTACGTGACGCTGATAAGCGTATCTTTCCGTTCTCGGGCCCCCCTCGACGTTCTCCCTCTCCCGTCGCTCGAGAAGACACTCCAGATCCGCGTACACTACGAAGGGAAGTCGCTCCTTTCTGTCGTAATTGTCAAAAGACAGCCACTTGTCGCTCTCGTTCGGGAGAACGACGGCGCAGTCGTTCATTCGGCCGCAGTTGACGCTGTGGGCGGCCAACTTGTCGCGCGTATAGAAATAGTGTAAACATCTGCGAAAAAATAACGTGCGAGCGATTACTGTGCGTATGTAAAAAAAAAA